GAAAGCCCTTATGTCTACCAAACCCTAGGCTCAGTAGCCACAAATGCGTTAAGGGAGCTCGTATTACCTTGCTTCCAGTACATAGACGACAGACACCTCGGCGAACTCTGGGGCCCAGTAGCAAAGCGATCCTCCAGCTTGGACGCTGCCAACGCCGCCTTTTTTGTCGCCGCCACCATTTTAACCCAGTTGGATATTTTTTACACCTTGGAAAATGTGTTCCAGTTCCTACGCAGCATCTCATTTTTCTTGGCCACCTCATCGATACCACCCGTCAAACCTTCTCTAAAAGTTCACTGCGCTTCGAGAGAGAATGCTATCAAGTAAATTTGTCTCTCTTAATGAGTTGCAGCGCTTTCAGGGAAAATGGATATCCCTAACTCTCATGGCTCCTGCTGCACAGCTATACACTCGTGTGGTTGCACACGCTATTTCACATTGTCCAAAACAGGGAACACCCATCCCTCTTGATGGAGATTTCAGAGAAGAAATACTTCACTGGCGCTTTCTTGACATTTGGACAGGGTTCGTCCCGTGGCGCACTGAGTAACATAGAGTCTTGCGAACCATCGCCTCTGATGCCTCGCAGTCCCGTTGGGGAGCAACGCTGTCCCTCCCAAACGGTATAATGTCGGTAGGAGACTATTTTGGCCTGGATATGGACGAAAGAGACATCGCAACGAAAGAAGTGCACGCCCTACTTTGCACCCTTCAAGCCTTCTCGCCGCGTCTTACCAACGCACGGGTAGACGCCATGGTTGACAATCAGGTTCTTTACCACGCCTGGCTTCGTGAGGGTTGTAAAAACCAGGGTGTGAACAAAGCGCTAAAGAGCATTTTTGACGTGACTTTGCATCAAAACATCGTGCTATCATTACAGTGGGTACCGAGTGCTCTCAACCCGGCGGACGTGGTCAGATGGCGATGTCATGGTCTCGCGACCATTGTTGGAACATATTGAGACCATCGCAGGACCTCATACCATCGACCCTATGGCTCTTGACTCCAACGCCCAATGTTCTCGGCATTATACGCCGTTCCCAACACCATGCTCAACGAGTAGCCCAAAGGGACACGACGAAAAGGGCTATTTGTTTCCCCCCACATTCTTAATCGGTCCGGCATTACAGCTCATTAGAGAAACAGGAGCGACAGTAACACTGCTCGTCCCTGACGTTTTTCCCAGGCCTTACTGGTGGCCTATTTTATGCCATTCCTCCGGCGCGCGACATCTGCTCGCAAGGGCAGGGGATCCTACGGCTCTTACTTGGCCCTCCAGAACACACGGCTTCTCAAAACCAAAATACATGCCACTTCTGTGGGACCTGTGGGCCTTCCGAATCACTAGAACAAATCCCAATTGAATCCTGTCGTGTTTTACATTTACTTTCAGCAGCACCCGCAGCGTTACACAGTTTGGAAACCTGTCCTTCAAGTGGAATGGCACAAATGTCTTGCCCTAAATGACCTTCAATACCGTTTTTGTCAGATGTGTGGGACCCTAAGGAGAAATGAACACCATAGTAGTGATAGCAAACCGGTCATCAACACCAACCCCTTGGAATCTCGTTGGCAAGAACTTGAGACCACTCTGGCCTCATCAAAATACAGCAGAAAGAAGAGTGCTCTGAAGTGAGAATTCGTGTCCTTCCTCCATCGCTAAAGCCCACCAAAGTCAGTTGACAGTGTGTCTCCACGGGACATAATTTATTTCCTTATCTGGAAAGATAAGGATTCCAAGACCCACGTCCACAGAGATACTTGTCCGAATCAAGGTAAAACGTCAAAAACACCCTCTTCCTGTGGATGCCCCGGACACCTAGCTTTTAAAAGTGTAGACTCTTACGTAGGACAGCTTAGAGCTATTCTGCGTGCCCATTTAGAGACTACAACACTCCCCACAACGGGAGATCCAGTGCCCTATCCAGCAGCACACCCAGCGGTCAAACGGTGTTTAAAAGGGGTGACAGAGGAACAGCTAAAAGCACGTGCTATCCCTAAACAAGCCGAACCTATCTTTATATGTGACCTCACGGCTCTTTGTCAAGTAATTGACAGTAAGCTACGATCGGCATCCACTGACCCAATTCATCTCTACATCTACGCTCCCGACATGGCCTACATCAAATTGCACTTCTTTTCTGGCGATCACCCATCAGACTTGAGCCATATAAAGGCTGCTGAAATTCTCTGTTTTCCTAATGACAAGGGTCTCATTTTTAACCACGTTTTCGGGAAGACCATCCATTCAGGCGATTCCAAGGTCTTTGATATTGTTAATGGTGGTCTCTGTCTTTGGGGTGTCCCTGGATCTGGGGGGCCTCCGTTTCCTTACTCAGATTGTAGAATTGATTTTCAGCTTCAAAATGGATTCCTTTAAAGCCGATCTCAAAAAGGTTGCGCTTGATGATAATATTGGAGCTGAACTTAAATTAAAGTTGTCAAAGGTTAAAGTCCCCGGCATTGTAATAAGAAATGACTCAAATACAGATTTCGACACCATCAAGAACCATTTCACGATATTGTGTTGCATGAGGGCAGCAGCAATCATCCTGAATTATCCATCACTCAGCAAGCTGTCCACTTACATGTGTCGATCCTCGATTTTGCTGCCTATTGCAAATACAAGAAGCGTATGAAGTTTGAACCCAACATGCAACACACGCTAGGAACAGTGATGACAATCGTCGAGTCGTGGATAGCATTTTTGGAGACAGTAGGCGAAAAAGATGAAGTTGAACAGCTCAAAGCATTCAATATAGTGATCGCAAAAGTTAGGATTGGAAGAGCCTTCAGACCTCAGATTCCCCACAATGGAAAAGACCGAGCCCATTTATATCTTAAGACACCAGTATTAGCATGTGTACGACCAGTTACATGTCACCACATACATGAAAGACACTTTGAAGAAGAACCTTTGTGCCACTTTAATGGGTTACATCATGTGGATACAAAAGGAGGTTTATCCTAAAGAGACTCTTGAACTTATCAACATCGACTACAGAGATTTGGGTGGCTCCATGCAGAAGGAGATCGAGATGCTAATGAGGGTGATGAGAAAGATAGAGCTGGCGGTGCGCGCACACAGCAAGCAGAAGACACAGTGGTGGAAATCGAAGACAACATTGATGACCAAGCACGCAATCCAACTTATGTAGAGGAGACCAATAGTGAAGCCAAAGAAGCACACGATCCAAGTTACGTAGGGGACATATATTGAATCCAACGTCTCGGAGCAGATACCATTGTCCACCGCCCTCACGACCAAGAAGCAAACTAAACCGGCCGAGCCAGCAAAAGAACCACAGAAGCGAAAAAGACTATCAGAAGATTCGGCGGGCAGCACAGATACCGCCTTGAAAAAGGCTAGACCAGACAACACCACAAAACGGTCTCACCACTGTGGCAAAGAAGACGCTAATCTTAAGAGGCACTTAAAATCACATGCCAGAAGGGGCCACATCGAGAACCAGCAAGTGGACAAGACGTTTTTTGGTTACTTCACACCAAGAAAGCACCCGTGGGCAAGCGCGAAAAACTAAAAAATGCGTACTGACCGGTTTTCCATTCAAGTGGTGCCCCGTCGATGACTGTGAGGTTGTCACTCATCTCATGAGGAGCCACCTCACACATAAACATCGATTAAAACCAGGTCCCTTGTTGGAAAATTACCTGCGTGTTGTTATGAAAGAGATCGAGCTTGCAAGGACCTCCACCAGGCCCCCAACGCACACAATAACATCTGCATCAGCAACAACATCTGCATGCATCAGCTCACCTTCCCCACCAACAGTCCACTCCACAGATAGTGCCATGGAATCTCAAGACATAGAAGAAGATATCACAACTGAGTAGAGGGACGATGAAGAAGAGTTGTGCCCTGATGATGAAAGAAAGATTGATTATCCAACTTTGTCAAGTCCAAAGGACAAGATGCAGACTTGGCTAGGCCTATTTTACAAGTACCTTAACACGCCAGACTGTAGGAGAAAGAGAGACAAAAACCGTCTCCAGCATGCCACCCACGTTCGAACAATTTTAGAAGATATTGACCTAAAGGGGAAAGACCTCGAGATGCTATCAGAAGATGAAGGATACATTGTATGGACAGAGTGGGTGGACAGAAAATTAGAAAGAAAGCGGTCAGGTACTGTCCGTTCACACCTTGGCTCTTACAATCACTTTCTCAAATTTGTCACCAAACAGAGGGTGAGAACAGACGATGTTAAGGAGGTGATCTCTGCCTGGTGCCAAACCACTGACCTTGACATGCGTCCTCAAAAAAAAAACGAGAAAATTCTCAAGACCTGCGATAATAAGCTGACTAATGATGATGTAGAGAAATTCCATAGAAGCAAAGCAATCTTAGAAATCCAAGACTTCGTAGAGGCAGCAGTGTGAGGAGAACCACTGAGCAATGTAGAAAAATGTGAGTTGCATGATTACATCTTGACCATGCTCACCTTGACCGTGCTGGAGAAGCTAACTTTGGAAAATTACACCACTGCAAGGGTCAATCCCAAAAGTGGCAGATGAGTGATCTTGGTCCCAAATCACAAAAGATCAGTGGACGGCCCCACCATGCTACCTGTGAAAGAATATGTTCAGAACCTCTTGGATGTTTGGGTGAAGTTTATTCGGCCAGCCTTTTCAGAGAAAGGTTTTAAGAATCTCTTTCTCCAGATAGATGGAACTGCTTTTGACGGCTGGACCATTGGAAAATGATTGCTTGAACTCTCGAAAAAGTCTGGTGTGCCGCCTGATCTTAGAGTGACGGCCACAGACATTCACCAGTGGCTGGTAACAACTGTGCATGAGAAGAAAGCAGAGGGGGCGTCTTTTGACAAGTCAGACCTTCGGAGAGCCATGTGCCATTCTGACAAAACCGCCAAACAATATTACCTGAAAGGGGAGTTAATGGAAGTTGCAGACCGGGGCTTGGACATCATTATAGAGTGCATGCCAGACCCAAAACCAATGCTATGCGTAGAGGCTGGTGATGATCAGGCAGATCATCAAGGAGAAGGTCAGGCAGTTTCCACCGGAGATCAGGGCGACAACCCCGAACAGGCAGGTCCCACTCTTGATCAGGGGGATGAAGCAGAATGGACCAGTCCCACAAGTACTCAAGGCGCCAAAGAGAAACCTGAAGGTCCCGCTGAGCTTCAACAGTGTGACCTTGCTAAAGAGGACGCTTCCACAAAACGATCCTTGACCAGAACTGAGAAGGCAATCATCTCCAAAGTCTTTGCAGACCTAATTGCAAGCACGGACAGGGTAGAGATCCAGGAAATAAGACACGGAATGAGAAAAACTGTCCAACTTAGACCATTACTGGAGATCACTGGGATGGACGTCAAGGTGGCTGATCGCATTAGACACTGCCAGACCAGCAGCGCAGATACCAACAGCGAACCACTGGTTGATCTACCACCGATGGCTTTGCTGGACAAAGAACAACTCACCCATGAATGGACAGAGACAACATCCACTTGCATCATCCCCCCCACCGTGACCTCCACAAACTGAGCATGGGAAGCGGAAGACAGCATGAAGATAGAGGATTTTTTCAGGAAAATGGAGAAGTGCCACAAGAAGAGGAAAATTGAGGAAGCCTTCAATGAAGAAAAAAGCCTAAATGACATCTTGAAGAGAGAAAGAATGAAGTGCCTTGAAAAAGTCAAAAACCTCTTCAAGAAATGGAACAAGTCTTAGGGGCTGCCACCTGGTGATGTACATACGGCCTTTTGTTTCTCTGATCGTTGTGTTTCAAAAGAAAAAGATCACCACAAATGTTTACATGAAAAAAAAAATTACAAAAATAGTAAAAAAACATTCTCATTCATACACCCTGTCTGCCCAGAACAGAATCGTTATTGACCGTCAGGCCCTTGCTACTGGGGCAAGGGACGTACTGGTGGTGAAGCCATTGCGTTATTGGCACTCAACCAAGTTAAAGTGATGTAAAATACTCATGTAAATAGAATTGTTAATAGAAAGTAATAAGCTATTTCACAAATATTTATTATAAATAGTCATGTAAATAAAATTGTATATTTTTTAATCCTTTATTTATACTGTATTTACGTTGTGTTCGTAAAAACCAAAAAAAACAAAAAAACAACAGAAAAAGAAAAAAACGAAAAACAAAAGAAAAAAACTCAAATTGGCCTCTTGAAAACCCTCGTCGTGGATAACACACGAGCTGAGGTAACTGACCCTTGGGGAGTGCCAGTGAGAGCAATCAAGTGTGCCATACCCAATCCTGGCCACAACGAGTCAAGGTGGTGCCTTGATGAGACCCTCCGAATGGCTTTTGGTAGCGCTTAGCACTATCAAGTCTCAGAGTAATACCCTTACTGTTCAACCTCGACGTAAGGGGGGCACCAGGAAACTAAATGATCGTTCCTTTCTCTATAGTAGAAAATATGGCAAAGAGACGTCAATACACGAAAGAAGAGGGCCAGAGAATTCTAGATTTTGTTTGTGGGAAGAAAGACAGAATTAGTGGCAATCAATTGTGGTGGGAGGCCGAATACCTAGAGGTAACTAAATCATGCAAAATGAGTAACTCTAACCCTTTCTAAAATGTTTTGATTAATTTCAACGTCTCATTGGTAGATCAAACCAGGCCGTAGCTAACAGTCACTTCAGTCTCGCTACTTAAAAGCATTGAGGCCGAGATGGCTGGAACGTAAAGGAAGACTACCCAGGAGGACCCGGCAGCCAACGCCTGAATCAACATCTGAGGAAGAGGAGTATAATTGGGAGGAGGAGAAAGAGACGGAAGGAGAGGAGGAGGGAAGAGAGATGCCAGAATCAACCTCTGAGGAAGAGGACGAGTCTGAAGCAGAGGAGGAGGATGAACAGAGTGAAGGAGATCAAGGAAAGGAAGAGGAAGAAGGTGAAGACATAGAGGAGTTGGAGGTAGAGAAAGAACATGCGCAGGGAGATGAAAAAGAAAGGGATCAGAAGGGGACAATGAAGAGACAGATGAGAAAGAGATTTGCTCATTCCGCCTTTACTTGTCAGAAAGTGGCAGTGAGGACAACTAAGTCTTATTACGTAAAGGCGTGTACATGTCATTAAAAAAGCAAATGTTAATATTAAAAAATTAATAATAAATGAAGTGTCTGTTCCTCGCTCGAATTAAGCAAGTTGGGAGGAGGGTTAGAAATTTGACCCCCGATTAGAGGCTAACCCCTTTGGAAAAAATCCAAGATGGCCGCTATCAACATTTGACATCTCCATATATCATCAACATGACCTCTGAGAGATTCCAAAACATTACTAAACATCATTTTCAGGTCCAATTTGACCATAGACCAACTTTTAAGAAATTTGAAATTTTGACCCAAAATTATAGGCTACCCCCTTTTGAAAAAATCCAAGATGGCGACTGCCCAGATTTGACATCTCCATATATGCAGAGGATCACTTTGGTTTGACTCTAAAACATCACCAAACATCTTTTCCAGGTCCATTTTGACGACAGACAAAGTTACAAGAAATTTGAAATTTTGACCCAAAATCACAGGCTAACCCCTTTGGAAAAAAATCCAAGATGGCGGCCACCACAATTTGACACCTCCACATATGGTCTGGATGAGCTGGCTACTACCCAAAAACATCACCAGACACCATTTCCGAGTCCATTTTGACCACAGACAAAGTTACAAGAAATTTAAAATTTTGACCCAAAATCATAGCCTAACCCATTTGGAAAAAATCCAAGATGGCGGCCATCACAATTTGACATCTCCATATATGGTCTGGATGAGCTGCCTACTACCCAAAAACATCACCAGACATCATTTCCAAGTTCATTTTGACCACAGAAAAAGTTACAAGAAATTTAAAATTTTGACCCAAAATCATAGGCTAACCCCTTTGGAAAAAATGCAAGATGGCAGCTGCCAAAATTTAACATCTCCATATATGGTCAGAATCACTTTGATTTCACTCTAAAACACACCAAACATTATTTCCTAACACAAATCCCCTAAAGCCTGGTACCTCACATACACACGACTGTAAAAAAATCATATATTGCCCAAAAAATCTGAAAAGGAATCAGAGAGAAAATATAACTAATAATCAACTGATCCACCAAATATCACGTGATTCCATGTACAAATGCCAGATCTAAGACACCAAAAAAGGGCACCATTTTAGGAAAGAGCAATTTATACTCAAGGAGAGGGCAAACTATACTCTGAGGGCAATATATACTGGGGTGAGAGCAATCTATACTCAGGGGAGGGCAATCTATACTCAGGGGAGGGCATTCTATACTCCAGGTGAGGGCATACTATTCTCCAGGTGAGGGCATACTATACTCTGAGGGCAATAAATACTCGGGTGCGACAGCGGTCTGTACTCTGTGAGTGCATTGTCTACCCAAATGTGAGGGTATTTAAGTCAGGATTCTAACCCTCACTTCTCACTCCTAACTCTAACCCTAACCCTAACTCCAAACCCAAGAAATACAACCAATTTGCGATTTGTAAAACGTTTTTATTGCCATTAAAAATTTTAATTTTAATTCATTTTATCGTAGCCCCTTGTTTGAGTCCTTCTAGAAATTGTTCATGACACTTGGGAACTGTTTCCTCAACATGCACATTCACTAATTGATGAAAAAACCGTTCCCGTGCGGGGGTTAAAGGCAAACCCAGCTGTTTTCTTTTACGGCAATACAAGGCCAAACTGCAGACTTTCTCTGGCAAAGGGCCACGGTCCTTGAATAAACTGAGCCATGGCTGCTTCGTTCTTGTCAAACTTTAGGACCCCAACGGAGGTTTCCACTCCTCATATTTCTGGCCATTAAAACATGCTTGAAACTCGTGGTTGGCAATGCTGTTGACTTCCTTCCACCCCTCTGTTTCCTTGTAGGCTTGGGCAATTTCTGGACTCCAATAAAAGGTACTTGGCAGACTTTTCTTCCACGGATTCGAACTTTGCTTGGTCTGGAGTTGTTTGTTTTGCTTTCGGATCGTTTTAGAAAACTGATTGAGCCATGCTTGCTGACGTTTCCATTTCTCCACATTCTGCTCCGCTTGTTGTAACCACTCTGTCTGTTTCATGGTTGACTTGAGCAGTCTTGGTTTGTACGATCGCTTGCAAGATTTCACTAACCATTCAGGCATCGAGTCTGAGAGCTATGAAACAGGTCATTTTTAGGGTCCTTTCCCATGGTGAGTTTTGGCTGTAGGGTGTCAAAAATGACGGCATTTTCACCATGCTGCTGGCCAAAAGTAACAGAGACAAGATCGACACAATGGGAGTTTCGCATCATCTACATTAGCGATATGCCGAAACGGACGGAGAAGCGCTATTTTTCCCAGTGCAAAGAGCTCGTTTCTCCTGCTGGAAAACCATGTGACTTCACACGAAGAAGGAGAAGACGTGCCTGGTCCTAGTTCTGGTGAAGATATTGTAGGCAATATTCTATAGAGACTATAGTTTCGATGAGAAGTACGGTACAGTTCATGTATTTGCCGACGATGCACACTTTGTACAGTACTAGCTAGCATGATGGTATAATGGGGCATTACAAAAGATTTGGTGTGACAATCATGGAATGATCTGAACAGAAACCTTTTTGCCGCATTTTTTTGCAGCTCCAGAACATGTCTTACAATTATAAGTATGTAGTGTTTTTGGTTTTCTTAGTACAATGAGCTTATTGAAGTCTTCCTTGGCGAGGTTTTAAATAAGATGCTATGTACATGATGCCTTTTTGATGTAAGAACAAATTTTGTAATCATCTCGACCTCATGATGTGATTTGCACCATGCCAAGGAAATATCACTCTAAATTCGACACTCAATCCCGGACAAAACTACTTGAGAAAGTTTTCCCCATCATGTCCACTTTCCTACGCAACAAAATTATTTCCAAAACGACGCCTTTGCGAAAAGAAAACCCCTTCCCCCAATTCAATGTTGCTTCCCACAAACGCCCACGGATCAGGCTTTCTTTTGAATACACAACGACATTGCTTTCAGGGGAAGGGGGACAGGGAAGAACGGGTACAGCTACGATGTTTAGAAAAATGCTGTCCAAGTATACGATTTTCTCAACAGTTTTGTCCAAGATTGTCTACAAGGTGATTCGCGTTTTCTCGCAACAATATTTGCAAGGACAAAACAAAAACATGCTAGTAAAAAGCACTTTACAGAAGCTGTTTTGAGCACAAAGTTTCACGCCAGACCATCTTCTAAAAGAAAAGCACGACCTCATATACGTTTTTTGCAGCAACCTCTTCAAAACAGTCAGATTTCGCAATAGCCGTACAACGCTTGCTAATTGTTACATATTTTCCTGTAGTTCCAGAATGAAAGGCTCGGAAAATGTGAAAAGTAATTTATCTTTTTCAAAAGAGTCTGAACAAGACTTGTATGACGGTTCTCTTCCAAGAAAAGGAGTTCGTAGTGCTTATTTAGGGACACAATAGTCAATCCGATATGGAACCGTTTCCGGTCACGTGGTAATTGCTTCTCAGAGCTTATAATTGGTTTAACTATAGGTGTTACAGAAACTTTGTTTGTTAAAAGTCGGTTAACTTTTTATGATAATTCCATGGATAGAATAATATTACGATTAACAAAGCATCGAAACGGTTAACACCATTTTGTTTTCAATAGAGAATGACCTTCTGATTCTTATTAAACTTCCCTGTTAATCGTTGTTAACCGTTGCTAACCTTCGCAGCCGCTCAAAAATGTCCTGTTAATCGTTCCGACTTGCAGATATTGTAGAGAGAAAAAGATTACAAGTCAACTATGGCAACTTTTATCATGCCTTGGTTTACAAATTATCAATGTAGGTCATAATTTTTTCCAGTTATATGTAACCCGAAGACAAAACGTGCACTTTTACAGGTCACGCGATAGTACATCTTGTCACGTTATCGCGCGTGACATTTCTAGATTTCATAGGGTGTTTCTTTGGACTGGATATCGCTACAATTTCAAAAGTAAGCATTCAAATGTGAAAAGTAAAAATGCAGCTTTTGTAAATATTTAATCCTCTCTCCATTTGATGCTTTTATTCATTGAAAGTGCTTGCCCATTGACTATTTCGGCGATGGGAAAATTGTTCAAAGTTGTCGGGTCACGGGCTCTAAAAATTCAGCAAAAGTTTCATGTGTTATTTGTTGATCGAATGGTAGTGGGTGAAATTCCCGTTTTCTGGCTAATCTGCTTGACAGAAACGTCCTTTTCGTCCTCGAAAAGCGTAATGTATGCCCGCTACTCTTCACTCAAAGCGCGCGTAAAAACCATGCATGGAAAATGAATTTCGCAAACGTTCTTGACTGACCACTCCAATCAGGTAAGACATACCAATTGGTTTTCTTGTCATAAACGCCTCTGTTTTCACTCATTTTGCATTAATTATCTACTTTTCTTTGAAATGTACTACATTTATAAAGAACAGGCTTATTTGGCTGCGTTAAAGGCTGAAAATCGACTTTCCCAGTCAAATACAATCCCGGACAAAACTACTTGAGAAAGTTTTCCCCATCATGTCCACTTTCCTACGCAACAAAATTATTTCCAAAACGACGCCTTTGCGAAAAGAAAACCCCTTCCCCCAATTCAATGTTGCTTCCCACAAACGCCCAGGGATCAGGCTTTCTTTTGAATACACAACAACATTGCTTTCAGGGGAAGGGGAACAAGGAAGAACGGGTACAGCTACGATGTTTAGAAAAATGCTGTCCAAGTATACGATTTTCTCAACAGTTTTGTCCAAGATTGCTGCTTCGAATCTCTCAATTTAAGAAAAAGTTTTCTTATTTTATGGGAAAATTTAAAACAGATCATAGGATAAGAACTCTTTTTTCTGTGATTTAAATTGCCTGTTTAAAAAAGAGTTTATATCCTATGATTGTTTTAAATTTTCTCGTAAAATAAGAAAACTTAATGCCTTAAAGTGAGAGATTTAGAGCAATCTCGAATTGAAGGCTGGTTTCCATATGATCGCTACGATTGCCACAATCGCTGAACTTGTTCTCAGTGATCGCAGCTTTCACAGTGATTGTAGCGATCATATTGAAAGCATCCTTTAGAGTGGTATATACACACACCACGGAAAAGGCATTTCCCACATTAACAAAGCCGTGGTAAATTTTAACTAGGATTTAGTTTGCTGCATCAACATGTGGTTACACATAAATTAATTCCCAAGTTGATTTAGCTGCTTTTATGGCCTCATTTGCTCTATTGCGGTAATAATAAAAAATTCACCTACCTGAATTGAAAGTCTCACGCCTGACAAGCACAGGGATAGGATGGCAATGTTGAGTAACGAATCTGTGTGTGGGGCAAGCTTTAATAAGTTTTCACTGCTTCAGGAATTGAGCGGAACTGATGCAGATCACAGTTTAGAAGTTCTTGAATCAATTGACCGAGATGTGAGCGAAGACGAAGCAGCCGACGCCGAACCAAATGAAAACCTAACAAGGGCGGAGACAAGTAAATCTGATCTTCACT